TGAGGTCAGAATCCCACCAGGAATTGTATTGTTCTCTCTGACGCATGTGAACGGTCGTGTTTCCTCTCCAGGTGAACCTAAAAGAGCAGGGTCAACTCCGCTGCCAGGATGAGTTCATAGTCTGGTGTGGACGGAGGAAATACCTCCGCCACGTCTTCTTGTTTGAAGACCTCATCCTCTTCAGCAAGACCAAAAAGATCGAAGGAGGATACGACATTTACATCTATAAACAATCCTTCAAAGTAAGAATTTATTGTTTGAGGAGTTTTTTTTGTCAGTTTCTGCTATACACTGCTTGTATAATGTCAGTAAATGTAATATTTTTTCCAATTATTTTCTATTTAGACAGCAGAGATAGGTATGACTGAAAATGTTGGCGACAGCGGCCTGCGTTTTGAGATTTGGTTCCGTCGGAGGAAGTCACAGGACACGTTCATACTCCAAGCCAGCTCCGCAGAGGTCAAGGCTGTGTGGACAGCTATCATAGGGAAGATTCTGTGGAGGCAGGCGCTCAGAAACAGAGGTGATTTCAATTGTAGGGTTGTTCTGATTATCAATGTGACATTCAGACACCTTATCCCATTGAGGACCTAAGTTTTGTCATTAAAGATTTACATGTGTGAATTCTAGCGTTGCGCATGCAGGAGATGGTGTCCATGGGTATTGGAAGCAAGCCTTTCATGGATATCAAGCCAAGTGATGCAGCTATCAGTGACAGAGCCATTGACTATATCATGAAGGGGTCAGGTGAGCTTGTCTCATACACATTATGTATGTGTTTATTATTTCTCTCCCTTTTTCTCTGACTCCCCCCCTCTCTCCAGTTTGTTGTATCTTCATTCACCTTGTAATTATGCAGACAGATACCCAACATTTTTCTTTGCTGAAACCACAAAAACTTGGCTCTTGTTTAGAGGTGTTTGAATGTAAGCCGTATTTGAGGTGTTATCCAAGCTGCACTCATTTGCAGTCATTACAACTGCAGTAAACTATTTTACATGACTCCTCTTTTCATGGAGATGCTTTTAAAAAAGATTCATGCCCTAATTAAGGTCATTAACAACCACAGGAATTTGCATATATTCTTGTCACTTTTCATCCCTCTCGTGATCTCACAGCTCACTGTGTTTGTCTCTACCGACAGAGTCTAGGACCAGGGCATCTATCGCGGTGCCTTTGTTTGAACACGCCACTTCGTTCAAGAGACCTCACTCCACTATCTCCAACAGCAGCACTTCATCCTCCAGCAGCCAGTCGTCCTCCTCCCTGCTGGGCTCGCTCAATCTTCATCTTTACTCCTCACCCTCTCACCCACACACACATCCATACCCAATGACCAGTGTTCCCTCCTTTGCCCAGTGGCCCTACGACTGCATAGAGGAGGATGAGCTGGAGCAGGACACTGGTAGCCAGCCCTCCATGAGTGAGTGGAAGTTTTCCTGCTGTAGAAACCATAAAGCCCATAAGTTAAAGAATGTCAGTGAATGTAGGCAGCTGTGATTATTTTGATTATTAAAAAGTTACAGATACAGAAAAATTCTGGGTAAATGTAAGCACAACCACTGTAGTTACTATTGGTTGTCTTTTAACTTTCTGGGGGGAACTTTGGTAGATTACCAGCAGCTCATTTGTACTTTATCCCAAGTATTTTCTGAGCTGACAATGTAACACAATATGTTACAGAGTGCTTGTGAAAATAAATGAAGCAAAGATAAACACTATTAAAATTGAGAAGTGCTTCAAGATAAAACAACAAGTTATAGTGATAAAATGATAAAACAGCAATGATTAAACAGGCAAATAATATATACAGTGTCTTCTTTGCTGTTACCACTAGGAGTTGCCAAAGTCTAAACATTTCATATACTACTCAAAGGAGTTTTAAGAATACACAAAGTCCTTGGCACATTAGGTAACTGCACATGGACCTTACTTCCTAGAAACATTGCCTCAATAGGAAATTTAGGTTCTGTGTGCATCCAGTGTGACAGTATTAATGCTTCTTTCTCTGTGTGTTGTGTGATAGTCACTGAGAGCTCAGAGACATCCTCCCAGTGTACCTCCAGTGACAGTGTAACAGGGCTGAGTACTCTCACTATACCAGGGCACCCCAGCATCATGATGGACTCCTACAACAACAATGAGCCCCCCTCCTTCCTGTGCTCCTCCACACCTCCCTCCTCCATAGTGTCTCCTTCAATATTCCAGAAAGAGGAAGACCTCCAACCCCAGGACACCAATTTCATCACAGCAGTGAGTGTTTGATTCTCTTCCTTATTATAATCTTATATATGCTTCTTTTTATAACTGCTAAAATCATCATGTTTCATGAGAGTGTATTATTAGATTAACCATAGCTGTGGTGGTACTATTTATATTTCTTTATATCTCTGTATATTTATATCTCTCTATCTGAAGTCCCACATGAAGTACTTTCTTTTTTGTACAATACTCATATCTTTTCTTGTTTTTCTGGCTCCATTATTGTATGCACAATGGAGCCATATGTATGCATATATTACAATGTACATGTTATATTACATAACCTTTTTGGTGTCAAGGACCCCCAAATTGATACACATCTGGCCACAGACACGTATTTGATCAGATATTGTCCCCTGTTTAGATCCCTGTCTGATAATATTTAGTTATTCCGTAACTGTCTATACTGTAGATTGTCAGATTCACAGTGAAGAGTTAAACTTATGAACACTCATTCTTATACTTTCTGTCATTGGACTTTTAGTCAATAGAATAACAGTGAAATTAAAATATTCCCATCTTTTCTGGGACCATTTCTGGGATTTTAAAGCCTGATAATAACCCCAATTTCGCAGAGATTACAGATTTTTCAAATCATTTCAAGTTTGCACTGGTCATATGAAAAAGTTTAGGATTTATATCTCTTACCCACTGAGTAAACGTTAGACCTGTAAAAGCTATTTATACATTAAAAATGTCTAGGTCTAAACATGAATCTGTAATTCATGTAGAGAAAACTGTCATCTGCAAAAGTCTTTAGAAGACAATATTTTCTTCTCTTCATTCACACATTGATCTGAATGTGTGAATGTGAGTGTGAACTGTCTTCTTATTAACAGCTATATTGAAGTACAACAAACTACACAAGCCGATTTGACTGAGGCTAATTGTAACCAGTGTGGGACAACTATTTTTTTTAAATTAACTGGTATATTTTAAGTTGGATTTCAGACTCCATTGTTTAAAGGAAACCACCTCACCACCTTTTTGCTATTTTGTTTTTACCAGAGCAAGACCACTCATATAGCACTAGGCCTCTCTACTGTGGTCTGATTCAGAGCTGAGGGGTTTTAGCTCAGTAAGTAACTGGTGTCACCAGAGTGGACATCTGTGTTGTCCCCTTCACAGACTCATTAACAACTGTGAGGAGCCTGTGGCCTGACTACTAATCTGTGTGCTTTTGGTGTGTTTTGTGCTGCATGGCGGTGTGTCCTGATGGGTTACGGGGGCTCTCACCCTGATGGGTGGTTTGTTTTGTAAACTTTTGGCTCTTTTTCCTTTTTTCCTTTTGGTTTCTTTGTGCCTTTCCTCATTTTCCTCAGTGCATCCGTTTAACATGAGAGTGAAATTTGTGTCATGACATATATGTTGTCAAGAGTTTTATGTATGTTAGAACACATGCATGCTCTGTTACAACCTTTGTTTTGGGGCTTTGGAATGCATTTATGGTTAAGAGTTTTTCATTGATTCCTGAGTTTTGTGTTTTTTAACAAACTGTTGTACTTGTTAATGTTATTAGTTTCTAATGTTCAAATCAGTTTAATGTTCAGCACTTATTGTACCTAATGGGAAAAAAATTAATTACATAACCCCAATGTATTAAAATATTAAATGCATAAAATATTACATTGCATTTGACAGGATTCAATTATATTAACTGGAAATTGTAGAACATTGACTGAACAGAATTCAGCCTCATCTATAGTTACATTTAAGCAAATTGAAGACGTGAAATAAATAAGAACTTCAGTGTTGCTGTTTGTTGTAGGACCTAGATTAATTAAAGACTTAAAATCATTAAATTTTTATTATCCCCCGTGTTTAGATGTTGCTTCAAATGTATGGTCAACTTTTAACCAGTAGGACCTCAAAGTAGTCATAAATACTTAAATATGTGGCTGTTAAAGATGTAATCAAAGAGAATAAAGAATCAAAAACCACATTTGCTCCTTTAGATGTTTTGATAAAAGTTTAGGCAGTGTTTTTTATTTTTAATAGATTTAAGTGAGCAACAGCTTCCCACAAAGTCTTCCCTGCTGCCTGTTTTAGTGTTAAAAAAACTAATTGGTTTAGGATAATAACTTAAAGTTCCATCAAATAATCTGAAATTGGGTGTCTTGTTAAATCTTCCACAAGTAATTTTAGCTCAAAAAGACATTTTGTTCGCCTTCTTGACCTTGTAAGCAACACTGATGCCCAGTCATTACTGTAACTTTTAGGAATTTAGGGTAATCATGGAATTATTGGTTTAACAAATTCTTTGTGTTTCTATAGGCCTATTAGTTGACTGACATTAATACTGCATGCTGACTCACGTAAAATAATACAAGTGCATAATGTGTAGAAAAGAGGTTTTTCTAAATCGTCTTTTTCCCCCTTGTTTCTTCATAGCTGTGAAATCTTCAAGCTGAATGCTACTTGATGCCACAGCAGTTTGAATATCAGGACAAGGAAATGGAAATGAGAGGAGTCCAGCTGCAGAGCACTAAGACTTTAATCGATGAAGCACAACTATTGTATGACATTTCATTCTGATACTGTAAATTGGAAATTGACACATAATATACACTGCCATGATGGTACGTCAGTGTTCTGTACATTTGTTTTAATTAACTAGGTATGAATTAATGTTTATATTGTAGATGAGTTTTTTATTATGTATTTTACAAAACAAAAAAATAGCAGGCAGATCAATCCAGACAATGTTATGAAAAGTGTGTACAGATTATTAAAATGTTTAAAACATTTTGTTGTATTGATTTCTTTGGCACAGTTAAGATTGACTTTAAGTCAACTAAGTGGCTACTGATTGCATCGGCTGAAAACAAAAACCAACCAACAATAAACAAATCCTTCATAGTTCAGTAAAGCATTCTAAATGTGAAACCGGCTGAAAGTGTGAATGCAGCTGAAAACAAGTTGCAGATATTTCCACTGATAACCAAGCACGAGTGTAAAACCACACACAAGACCCTTGCGGACTGACGGATAGAACAGCCCTATGAGACCCACTGCTACCGTTACACAGAGACTGAGGAGGATAAAGAAGTGGGGTTTTTTTCACATGAGAGAAGCTGACATTTTGTTTACCACAAGTTTTGTATTCTCAGTCCAAGTCAAACATCAGATCAGACCACAGCCTAGGCTGTTGAAGAGTTTTTCAACTCTAATATAGGTAATTGAAACACTACAGAAAGCCACACAATGTACAAAAAACATAAAACATATGCTAACACAGTCACTTCCTTTCAGCACTAACATGCAGCCCCATGGTCCTCAAACAGTTCATTTAAAGTATTAAATTCTCAGATGTCCTCTCAAATAGTTAAAACAACTTGGTCATGGTGATTTGGCACGTTTCTCTTGGAAGAACCAGAAGCAGAGGGTTGCAGAGAGAAGAACCTCAAGCACCAACACAAAAAGCACAAGCAGCTCCATCTGTCAAAACAAAAAGATGATCAAGTATTCATTAGTTTTAAATTAGTAAATACATGTCAATATTTATTGCTAAATATGAGGTGTTTCATTTTGTCTTACCCTCATATGCTGATCATTTCCTGGATTCCAGTTAGACAGGTCAACACTTATCAGACAGCATGCAATTACTGCCATGATAATAGAGCCACAGTTGACCATGATGGACACCTGGAACATGAGCCATACATTAATCTTCACTTTATTTACCAATTTGAATCAGCTAATAATGTCTTTCACTGACTGTAATGTGTTGTTTGTTGGGCTTGTATTGAGTTGTACTTACAGGTAGTAATCTTGGACATTTGAACAACAGGTTGGAAACAATTCCCGCAATGATGAACTGCAGAGGAGGAGAATGGAGCTTAGAGCTGACCAAAAACATCAGCGAGCTGTTTGACTTTTTAAGTATTAAAGACAGATGGTAACATCTGGTTTAACTCTTTCTTGAACACCTCATACTTGTATCTGCTTTACTTAATGCATGCTTTTTATCATGAAATTTAAGCAATTTGAGACTATAAGTATGGTGACCTGGTGGGACTGCATAGCATTCGTATCCCATGTCCCACGTCCCACATTTTGATTGGCTCTAGTTTTCAAAAGTCAAATCTGCAGGACAAAACCATGGTTTAATGACTAAAGAAAGGCTGTAATCACTGGGCTATATCTGATGTCAATCAAACTGTGCACACACGGGTTAAGTGCAGGTTAACAGGTCACCTATCAGGGTAAAAAATACGTGTAACCACAAGGTCACAATCTATTGCAGATTTAAGTGGAATATCAGAAACTACCAAGAAATGCATTTATAGCAAAGACCGGCAAACCACTTACAGCTGGGTTGAGCAGGTGGAAGGTGATATGGCAGACTATCACACAGGACAAGTGTAACTAGTGCATTTACCACATTTGGTTTGTTGGGATCTGGTCAGGATATACTTACAAGTGCTCCAGTCAGGAGGGAAACTCTGAACAGTGTGAAAAAGGACTCTTCCATGTCTTGTGTTACAGCTAAAATAAGTCCCACTCCAACACTGAGGAGACCGCTCACCATCTGCAGAGACTGACAGTGGAACATAGATTCGGTTCAGATTTACTCAACAGTAGGTTATACGATTTATTTATTATCTCTTTCCCACAAGGATAAACAGTATGGTGCATGTGCTAGAGCGTACTGATGCAAGCAATGATACAGAGGCTACTATGAGAAAGACGTAGATACAGTATTTAAGACCTCAATAAGCATATCAAATAATAATATCTTCTTAAGTTCTTTCACTGATTGATTTTCATGCATGAATTCATGACAACATATGTGTCCTGTTACTAAATGAACACACTAAAACAAAATGAATAAAGAGAAATACAGTAAACATGAAATATCAGTACTATGTAGATAAAATATGTATTTTCATCTAAATCATAATAACAGATAAACACAGTCTAAATGAACAAATAACACACCATGATGTGACCTTTAAGAGTACTGTGCACATATTCTCACTAAAGATTATATGAAACTTCGGTCTTTACACTGACAAGTTGAATACCACAAAACCACCTAACCAAGCATTTCCTGTTGCTGCTGCCCAAATCTGCACAACCGGTACAAATGGACATCACTCTTTACTGCGCCTCTTATCTGTTTGTGATATCTTGCATGAACTATGTTATCAATATTTTTAGACATTAGATCACACAGTCTAAGGGAGAAAACAGTGACCACTAATGTCTGAATTTAAGTCGCTTCAAGAGAAGAAAAATATCACTGACAGTAGGTCATGTATAGATACCTCACATACTTCTTTGTAATACAAAGAATTAATGTATGAGAAAAAAATCTAGCACCATCTTAGTTCCTTTTTCCATGACTGTACACAATATTGTTGCAACATACAAGCTGTGAAACAGTACACTTAACACTCATACACACTAAACAAACTTACACTGTAAAGAACTGATTACAATCATATGAATATGTGAGGCTAAAATGTTCAGTGCTTGGATTAAACACTTTTTCAGACAGCAGTTTGTAGTGTTATGTTTTAATTGCATTGTTTTGAGAACGTCCATGCAGACTGACAGTATCTCAGGTAGACCATGATGTCTAATAATTGCAGGGCTGGTAGGGTTTGATCCTTGGCTCCTTCTAATGGCGAAGTGTCCTTGAGCAAGACACTGAGCCCTCAACTGCTGATGAGCAAATCAGCACCATGTGTGTTTGTGTGAGAGAATATAAGGTCCTGTGAAGTCCTGTGCATTGTTCTTTGTTTTTTAAAGACTAGTATTCGTTGGATACAATAATTTGCAATGCATCTTTCTAGTTTACAAGCAGTTTTTTCACTCTTACCCCCAACACAGCAGGTTGTTTCTGCAGCAGGTTATGCAGCGGCCCTTCTTTTTCTGGTACAAACTCTGAAGCTTGGTATTGCTGTATTCTCGGTGGCTCTCTCCAACCTGCTCTATGTGGGTCCTCATTATCTCCATGGATGTCCATGTCAACATCGGCACAGGCCATGGTGGTTCTCTGACCTGGTGGGATCCCAGTTTGATTTGAGTTTATCTCATGGTGTTTAATAATAAAATGGTTTTAAAAATCATGTGTTCTTTAATTTGTACTTTAAATTCTTTATCCTTTAGTCTTAATATCGGACAAACACTACTGTAGCCTTAAAATGTACAGAGTGACCAGACACTGAAAGGTGATGCTTCAGTTTAATTTTTGAAGCTGCTGTTGTATTATTGTTGGAATGCATTGTATTGGAAGGTGTCATATTTTCCACAGCCATTAATGTAAAAAAGATATTAGAGATATCGTTCACTATAATGCCACCGAGTACATCATCCGCACAAAGTACAGCTTTCAAATATCCATGGAACAAAGTAAACACCCAATTAAAGGAGTTGTGTAGATGAAATCTAAACATATTGAATACGGTAGTATTGATTACAGGGCCTTTGCGTTGCATTTCAATACGCAGTAATACATTGTGCAGGTGTTTCTGTTTTCTGTAGTTGTTCCTGAGACGTTTGTTTTTGGATTTACAAAAAACAGAAAGAGACAATTAAATAACAGCATCTGTCCAGTGCTGGCTTTTCAATATACAATTTATAATAATAAATATACAGATAAAGATTTGTATAAACCAGTTTAGTCTCTGTCAAACAAGATAGCTGGAACTTCACATAATATTATATTACACATTCATTTTGTTGTCATAGCTGAACTTTTTTTGACAACATCAAATACGATTTTAACCTTTTAACAACAGGGGAACATAGAAATTGACCAGTTACATTATAAAATATCAACAGCAGCACTCAAAGGTGTCATTCTCATATTCGTAGCAGGATGTTTTTTGCTTTTGATTGCATTTAACATGCACAAAAAACATCCGAGCCACTGGATACATACACATACATAAGCAGACTTCGAGATTATTGCAAATTCATTCATATTCTCCATTGCAAATATGTACAATAAAGCTTTTTTTCAGTGCAATTCAATAAAGATCTTAGATTAGGATTCTTACCACGTTTGGCTTGAGCAGTATCTATTTCACACTCTGTATCTGTCTCAAACAAGTGTCTCACTCTTCAGGCATCATTTTCACTTCCCTGCAAATACTATGAAAGATGAGGTCACCACACGCTTTAACTTCCTCACTCTGCCTGTGGTCTCTACAGTGTTATCATGCCCATTGCCATTACTTTTATGTTATCGTACAGTATTAATGATTCAACAAAGACACTTTTCTTTAAAAGCATGAACACAAATAAGCTGAAATATTAAGTCTTTTAGTTTTAGATTTTCGCCAAATTCAAAATTCTGCATGCAAGCACTTTGTGGGGTCTTGTGTTGTGTGTGTGTGCTTGGTGTGAGACCCGAGAGAGAGAGAGAGAGAGAGAGACGACGGGAGTAAGACAGACAAACAGACAAAGACAATAGGTGTGCCATTTCATTTCCTTGTCAAACTCATTTGACAAAGCAGCAAATTTTAAGTCTGAATTAAGATACGAGAAGAAGAAAAGGTATTTACCCAAAACCTTGACGATAGATCACCACAGTAAACTGCTTTAACATTCTTTACTTTCATTTTGTTTACAGGAGAATGAAGAAGACCTTCATATGTGATGAATCAATGATCATCACCATTCCCATTGGGAGTCTAAATGGCGCTCGAGAGGCTCAACTGATGCCGGAGAAATTTCACTGTGTGTACAAAGATTCCTACAAGATCTTTGCTATTAATGGAAAACCTAAACCTCTTGGAGTAGTGTGAGTCTGACAATGGACTTGTCTTTTTTGACTTCAGCTCACACACCAAAGAAAATGCAGCATTTGTAATGACGTATTTTCTTCTGTTGTTTACTAGCAGCCCAAGCCATCGCTGGCGTGTTTCATTTCAATTCTGGGGCTGATTTATGATCCCACATACAGAAGATACAACGACAGCCACGTCATCGTGAGGATCTACAGGTCTGATCCCAGTGTTGTAATGGAATTCCAAAACTAAAAATTATTCACTCCCATGATTTTCATTGATGTTCTGTGAAAAAATCTAAATGTAAGGAATACAATTAAATAGATTACTGGAATTAGCATCTTTTTCTACTCCTTCTGCTTGCAACATTCTTTATTTTATTTTATGTATAATCATTTATCAATATGTTTTATCAATGTTTTAGTTTGTGGTCTCTGGTATGGTGTCCTATGCTTCTGGACAATCTGCAAACATGCATGTGGTAAGATAAACATTTGTTTTTTAAAGATTTCTTGCTAAAAAGTGGCAAGGTGAAAATGATCTTTGTAATGGTTAAAATTAACAGCGCGGGAAAAAAAAATTAAATCTTAAACTACAATAGATTAATAACTATTTTTAAAAATGACTGATGATGATTTCCTGTGTTTTTTAGAATGTTGTGTTTTGCTGACCAGATGTCAGCCTGTCGAAGTTATGAGAAATTAAATTATTTGTTTTCCAATCCAATGAGCCTTTTGTTTTTATGTCATTTTTCTTTGAAACACCAATAAATGAATGACTGTAGACAAGCAACATATTTTTAGGTTATTGTCTGACAGAATGATGAAGCAAGAGTTGTGTTTAGGAAATCTAATTTTGTATGTATAAACAAATAAATCAACAAATGTACAATATATTAAGTATAATAAATATGCTATACACTGATAGATATGAGAAGTATGGAAGCATCACAGATATTAATATATGAACATACTATATATTATCTAATATACTACATTTCACTATGACATAATTTACTGATTATTTAAAAAAGGGAAATCATTACAAGTCGTGGTCCTCCTGATGTATATGTTTAATATAATTCAATTCTAATGATTTTCTTTTGGTACCTAAAGATTTTTCAGTAATACCTGCATTACGTGCTCTTTTTACCTTCCAGAGCAAAGCTGTCATTCTCCTTTGAACATCGTCAGCTTCTTCTGGTCAATTGCGGCAATTTTGTATCTGTGTCAATCAGTTTTTTCATTGCCCTACCCAGAAAGGGTAAAGGAAAACAGCATTTTCCTTCAATAAGTACTCTAAATTACAAACAAACGTGTCAATTCACTTTCAACTTCAACTGTTTTCCATAGATCCATGAAGGAATCAGTGGACTGATTTTGACTCTGCTGTTGTTGAAAATGGTTGCCCTATTCTTGATCTACTTGGTTGAGTAAAGCTGTGTGGCAGAAACCATTTCAACACACTGGTATGGCCATTTCTTTAAACACACAGCAACCACAGATACTGTAAGAGGAATAAGGATTATTTGTTACTAACAGTGGTTTAATCTTTTCTCTGCCAGCCCATCCATACTGCTGAAACAGGGAACTGGTTTAAATGCTTAATGGAGCTCAACAAGCCAACCACCAACCAGCTATTTACATGCCTCCCTTTTTGTATCAAAAGTGATAATACCTATCAATGTCATACACCTTTCCAATATACAAAGAAATGTGACATTAACTATTCATGTAATGTGCCACTTCTTGGATACTGATTAACTATTAGCTTTATTTGTAATATCATCCTTACTCTGTGTATTGCATCGTTTAATCATTTTATGGACCTGTATAGCCCATCAATCAAGAAGTAATAGCATGTCCAGCAACGTTATTGAGCTGGGCAGCCTGTAAGAATTCCACGCTCCAAAATAACCTTTAATTTCTAAGTCTGGAAAACGTTGTGTTGTCTCAACTCTTGGGACCTTTAGATCATCATATGGATAAACTTGTAAATACTTGTGACACATCGTTCCAAATACAGTCGATAGGTTATTAAAGATCATCATAGGGAAATATGATGCAGGTTTGTGCTTCTTGACTACTGCGCTGCATTTTTTAATACTTATATCCCCCACAGTTAAGTAAATTAATTCATTTTAACCATTGCTTACTTGAGACCCCAATGGTCATTCAAAAGTTCTTCATCCTTGGTTATAAGTTTAAAGTGAACTTTTTGCCTTTCGTGACTTCCGGCTTGAAACCAGATGACAAGATTTTAATTAAAATCAAGTCCTGAGAGAGCTGTATAGTAAAAATTATTTCATTAATTTTATCATGAATTATCCGTAGGCATTTTGCTTTGTTATACCACGTGGTGGATTTTTTTTCACCCCTGATTGTTGCTAACTGTATTATTAAGGCAATAAAGGTTATATTATTTACTTTTTTTGTCTACCGGTGTCTTTTGTGCAGCGACAACACATTCCTCTACCCTCATGAACAATGCAGATAACACTTAAATTAATTAACTGTTTTAAGTTACAACATATCAAAGAAATTCCAAGAATAAGTCAATCTCCCATGTATGCAATGTAACAATATATACACTCTAATAACATAAAGAATAATACATTTTGCGTGATACATTTTTCAACAAATTTCAAAGTTATTTGGACTCATCAAGTGAAGAACTATATAGCATATAACACATGTACTCGCTCACTTTTACATTGTGTGTTTACCACATTAAATTGTTGCTGAATGCACCTCAAACTGTTTGGGCCACATTTATAAACCAACTTGTTCTGATACTTTTTGTGTTGCAACCCCCCATTGCTCATATCTGTTTGTGGTGTACATTGCCGCATGGCTACAGTAGGCATCTCATAGTGCGAGATAAATGTTAACAATACTTTTTAATACTATTTTAACCCCTTCTCCTAACCCACCAGTCAATAATAAAAAACAACACAACAAACAATTTTTTTTTAACCTGGTGCACATCCATGGGGGGAACAGGTTTCTTGCAGTTCTTAATTAATAATGAGAGGGACCTGCGGCAGATAGAATGATTTTGGTTTTAGTAGCATGTGAAAGCCCTGTGGAGACCCACATGGGAACGGTAAACCCACCAAATGAGTCAAAATTAATTCCAACCTCAGCCTCCATCCAACCGACTTCAAAAACACTTTCGTCCCCCTGGCCATCAGACTGCCACAACAGCTCTTTAGTCAAGGCAGGCGGAGCAATAGATAATAGACAATGTACAATTATCTACTTCATTTGCACTCCATTTTGCACTTCCATTTTCTGCACTGGCTTACTGTTTTGCACTGTTTACTGTTGCCGCTGTTTACTGTTTGCGCTGTTTACTGGTGGCACTGTTGTAAGTGGGGAACTTTAATTTAAGTAATTTATTTCAATTTTATTTTAAACGAATACAGTTTAAAGGAGTTGTGGTAGGATGAAATTTAAACATATGAATTATGGGTGGCTATTGATTACAGGGCCTCTTGCATTGCATCTTACAATCAACGCATACATTGCAGTGTGTTTCTGTCTTTCTGTAGTTGTTCTCAGACGTTTGTTTTTGGATTTTTTAGAAAAAACAGAAAGAGACAATAACAGGGTCATTAAAGTTAACAGGCATCTGTCCAGGTGGGCAAATCAGAATTTCAGCATCTAGAAATTAAATATCACTGGTTTTTCA